ACTGCAGTCTAATGGCCTTAAAATGTCTTATAATTTTAATTCCATAATGCATACCTCTCTTTTCTTTTCTTGCTTGTATTCTCTACTTCTGCAAACATAAGCATCACTAAATTTGTGAAAGAATTTATCCACCATATGGGCATTTGCAAGCTTTGAATAGTAAATACATATACAATTACCAGTGTTGTTTATCTAGTACCAAACATTAAATTGTTAAAAAACTTCAAAGCAAAGCGCTGTGCAAGAGCATTGCGGAAATACAGAAACATTCGTATGTCTACCATTAGTTTTTTTATGAAACATTGACCAACACTAATGTAATGTAATTTTCTTGTTATAGGAAAAAAAAAAAAAATCAAACAGAAAGACACATTCAGTTTAAATAGCTTGCGCTCAATTTTAAACCTTGCAATCTTAGCTACCGATATAATCTTTTTTGGATCCATCCCTAGCTTAAGGTAGCTGTATTTTGTGGAAGGAAAAATAGTCACAAGACAGAATCCTTCCTCTCTTACCATGCTCTGTCAGATCATAAAAGAAACACTACAGTGCTCTTGGGTTATGATGTAAGTTGGTAACACATAAGTAATGAAAAGCTCAGTAGTTCTTATATTTAAACAAACAAAAGCCCACAAAAATCAAACCAACCAAACAAAAAACAGTCCACAAACAAACAAACAAAAACCAACATTGGTCAAATTGGTAAAAATTAGAATAAAATTTTGCCACTGAAGTGAAACTATTTTTTCACTTTAGTAAATGAGCAAATCACACATATATCATTTATTGTTATGTTTTAACTATGAAGCCATGGACAAAATATGGAAAGTAAGAACAAATATTACTTTAGAATTCAATTTTTTCAACACTCACCTGGGGGAAAGGAATTCTGTTTCCAGTTTCTGTATCCAGTCAACATCTTGGCCACCACGGGATGTGGATTACATGTCAAGAATGGACAGAAACTGAAGCCAGGCTGATCATGCTTGTGATGGTTTCAGCACTGCAAAGTGACATTAAGTCAGGTATAGCCTCAAGGGCAGAGAGGGATTATCTAATGCCTTTGACTCTTTTGAGAAGACAGAGAACAAAACAGCTAGCACTGTAGGCCATCTATGTACCCTGAGGAGAGGAGCCCTTGTGGCTCTTCACATATTTTCTTTTGAGGTTAATTTGCAACATGCTTAATCCATGAAGGATTTATTTAAAACAAACAAACAAACAAAAACAATTTAAAGAAAAAAAAAAATCCTGTCATCTCATTGGGGAGGAAATGGGTCTTCAGAGTAGATGATATAACTGAAGAGTTGGTAAGTATTGGCTACCACTACCTCATTCAATTGCATGGGCAATGGCACTCCTTCAAATATTCTGTTTAGAGAGTCTGAGCTGCTTTGTTCTCCACATACATTGAAAGCACATTCATCATTGAGTTAAAGAAAATAACCAAGTACTGCCCCTCCCCTTTTACTCTTGGCATTGTTATAGATGAGTAAGAGAATATTGGATGCTTGCTGCAGAACCTTGGGCTGCTTCCTTTGCAAAAGATACTTGGAGTATTTTGAAAGAAGCATGTCCTAGTTTCAGAAGAAGATATACCTCTATGGAAGTTTCATTTTAATAGCTGGATAAATGCATGAATCTGGCTGCCTGTTATTGTTTTTATTTTTTAAGTGGAACTGTGACAGTTTTCCTTTACACTATGTAAGAAGTAACTAACAAACCTGTCTCTGATCAATGGTGTTCATTTTAAATCTGATTGGGATTTCCCACTTAGAAATATTGAAGGAAATATTCTGCAAAAAAAACCCAACCAAGCAAACAAAACAGTTTGAGAAATGTTTTGACACCTGTGAAAGTAGTGTTAAATTCTAAATGGTAAAAGGGGTCACATTATTTTTGTCAGAATCTTCACACTCTGTACACATTCTATCAGTGACACTTAGAAGTAAAATGCAGGATACCTGTTAGATATTTCCTCCTGAACAAAGCCTGGTACTCCTATCTTAAGCAAATGTATCCACTATTCTTTTTTCAGATCAGCAGTGGCTTGAATCACTCATTAACTCTGGAAGCCTTCTTCAGGCTTGTTGAAAAACTTACTTGTTTAGATATATAATGATTTCCAATTAGATTGCTAATGACCAAAATTTTGAGTTACTATGACTTGACTTACTGGAGATAAATATTTTACTAGCATATACAGTATTTTGAGTGCTCTGTCAGGAGTTTTCAATAGCATTAAGTGCTAGATTCAGGACTCAGAGTTCTTAACAAAATGGAATTAGAATCAGCCCATTCCCACACTAAAACAGAGGGAAGAAATATTTTCTCTGGATCACTCACTGGGCAATGCATTCCCACTTGCAAGCAAAAAGTTTCTGTAGAAAGCAAATAGTTCATTAAATGGAACTGGAACACAGCATTAGTTTGTGAAAACACAACAGAGTACATAAAATAAGCCCACAAACATGACCTATGAGGGCTGTTCTGACCCCTCCTATTTTATTATAAGTGGCCCATGACATCAGAGGCAGATTTTGGAGGGATGGCAGTAGAGGGTGAGCCTTCCTACCAATATTCTACTATATTTTGTTGCTGTGTGACAGAAGGCAGACAGCCTAACAAAATGGCGCCTGACATGGAAGTGTTTGTGAAGCAGAAGTATGCCACCGAGTTACTCCCACAAGTAAAAAATGGTACCCATTGACATTCGTAAATGCTTGCTGAATGCTTATGGAGACCAAACAGTGGATGCGAGCACAGCAAGGCAACAGGTAGGTCACCTCCACTGGTGCAGATTTTTACGAGCACGACATACAGGCTCTTGTTCATAACTGGTGAAAATGCATAGCTATTGTTGTTACTGTGCTAAAAAATAGTGTTTTGTAGCTGAGAATTTGGTCTATTAAATAACATTACTGTACCCTCTGTATCTCTTGTCATTTCCATGGAAATAAGAGGGATTACTTTCAGAGTAACAACATAGAACAACTGACTTTTTGGTTTGGAGTCTGAAGACATTTGTACAGGCTCCTCTTCAGGCTGCAGGAGCAACCATTACTGCACCTCTTCTTACCTGCATTGCTGGCTCAGATCTCTCCTGCTTGCTGATCTCCTGTGCTGAAATGTCATCTCTCTTGCACCATCTTGGCGTCAGTACTTCTATGGGTATTGTGAGGGACTTTTGTGGTGCTGGACTTCTGGGGTGTCCCCAAAGATGCAGTCCCTTCTGCAGCTGCAAGAAGAAGTCCAGGCACTCATCAAACCATAGAATCACAGAATTGCTCAGGTTAAAAAAGACCTTAAGATTGTCAAGTCAAACCACAAACTAACCATATTCCCCTAACTCCAACAACCCACCGCTAAATCATGTCCCATTTATCTAGATGGTTTTTAAACACATCCAGGGATGGTGACTCAACCACCTCCCTGGGGAACCTATTGCAGTGATTCACAACCCTTTCTAAAAAAAGTTTTTCCTGATATTCAAACTAAAGTTTCTCTGGCGCAACTTGATGACCTGTCACCCGTCACCAGTGAGAAGAGATCAACCCTGCTCTCACTGCAATCACCTTCCAGGTATTTGAAGAGAGCAATAAGGTCTCCCCTCAGCCTCCTCTTCCCAGACTAAACAGCCACAGTTCCTTCAGTTGCTGCTCACAGGGCATGTTCTCAAAGCCCTCAACGTGCCTTGTTGCCCTTTGTTGGATCTGCTTCAGCACCTCAATGTCCTTTCTGCCCAATACTGAGCACAGCAATCAAGGTGGGGCCTCACCAGTGCCAAGTACAGGGACAGGATTACTTCCCTAGTCCTGCTCATCACATATTCTGATAGAAGCCAGGATGCCACTGGCTTTCTTGGCCACTTGGATATACTACTGGCTCACATTCAACTGACTGTCCATCAGTACAACAAGGTCCTTTTCTGTCAGGCAGCTTTCCAGCCACTCCTCCCCAAGCCTGTACGGTTGCCTGGGGCTGTTGTGACCAAAATGCACTTTGGCCCTACTGAAACTCACAGTTTTCCTTGGCCCATCAATCCAGTTTGTCCAGGTCCCCCTGTAGTGCCTTTCTCCCCTCAGGCAGATCAACACTCCCTTCCAACTTGGTGTCATCTGCAAACTTACTGAAGGTAATCAGTGATGATCTGTTGCTGCTGGGGAAAGGGAGGTCTCAGGACAGTTTGTTTAGATCCTGAAGTGTTCTACAAACTTCTCATTACCTTCCAACATGCTGTTAAGTCTCTGTTTTCATTCTTGTTCTTATGTTTTGAAAGAAGCTTAACAGAACACTAGAGTGCAGTCTACAGATACACTGTACTGATACACTGAACTCCAGTTTTGTATCCTTAGTGCATCTTCTGGCCAAACTGTTGGAGTAGAACATATACTTCTATTTTTCACAACAAAAAAAAAGAACATACCAAAAACCCAACACTTAAAATTCAAATGGATATTTGTACTGCCACAAGGCTCCTAAATGGCTTTGTTTGTTATGTCCCTTCTTGCATTTAATCGAACATGAACAAGTTTTCAGCTGTCATCTGTACTAAGCAAACTACATCAATAAACACTGCAGTTAAGGTTAGCCACATTTTCATTTTAAGTTGATTTATATTGCATTGTGGTAATTTTAGATGTAGCTCCTATAGCTTTACATTCATCTTTCATTTGTATTTATCGCTTTATTTTGTGCATATAGATGCCGTTAAAAAAAGTTCCTTCCTGGTGACTTCTCATGTGGTGGTTATCTTCTTAAGAAAACTAATGCAACTCCAGATGTATCTGTATTCAGAAATACTAGAATAAGGTGACAAGCAATAAAGTATAACGTAATTGGACATGCATAACTTCTTATCATCATCATATTAGCTCAAGAACACTAAATTAATAAAACATGAAAACCAAAATTCAGATCTTGGTATTTATTTTAATTCCAAATTCTTGTATTATCTGTCAGTCCTCAACTGAAATTACAGAAAATACTCGTGCTAGGAGCATAAAGAGAGTTTTGTTATACATAAATAGAGGATGATAAAAGTCTTCTCTTGCTTCATATTTTATGAATATATGCTTTAAGAGAGACTTGTAGTTTTTACTGTAAGATCACAGATATCCATAATAAAATATACTGAAAACATACTTTGACTCTTTAGTTCTCAGAAACAGACTGAGGTCTGAATATTGCAGGCTGTACAATATTAATACGAAGATCTTTGAGAGTAGTAGCACAGCTTTTCCATCACTTTCGCCACATGGAAAACAATGAAACATCAGAAACAGTTTGGGACAAACCGATATTTTACTACACTAAATAAAGTCAGTCCACATTTTCTACAAGTAACAAGGACAAAAGGAGTAGCTTGAGAGTTGCAACGACTGTGAATCTTTGTTTGTTGGACATGGTTTCATTTCTGTTGTTGCATTCCTCTCCATTGATTTTTTGATAGCTCAGAAAAGAATGGAGTCTTCAAATCTAGGCCAACACATCTGTTGCCCAGATAAGAAAAGAGATAAACAGTCCCATAATAAATGATATCTCAAGGAAGGATACCAGATATCTTGATGAGTACTAAGGAATTCCCATGTGGCGAACAAACACTATTAGAAAAAAGGAAGACATAATAAAATCAAAAACACTTCAGGGATGTGAGGCAAAGAGGAAACTGAGGAAACACAACAGTTGTCTTTGAATCTGTACTGAAAGTTACTCTTTCCATGTAAAATTTTTTTCAACTGGGGATCTGTAGCTTTTATTGAAACCTTTGTTATTTCATTTGGACTCTGAAAATATTCAAGTTAAGATGGATCACAACAGTGTTCTTGCATTGGAATTCCAATATTCTATGAAAGAATGGGAATATTACAAGAACTGTTAGAAATCCATTCTTCTCAAAAACCCTCTGCCTCACCTTTTTTTTTTTTTTTTTTGCCCCTGACATAGATGATGATTAGTGATGAGTATTTAAAAAACAAACAAACAAAACTAAACTAAAACATAATGTTAAAAGGAAACCATTTTCAGAACAACAAAAATTCTATTATATGAACAGTTAATTCAGAATTTTATGGCAGTCACTTTATTGTCCTCACTGCACATAATTCCCATTTAGAAAAGCTTTAACCCTAGAGTTATACTAGAAGCAGTAGTGCTTACGTTAGTATTTCTCTTCCTTAATCCAAGATAAATCTTTATAATTAGAATTGACTGCTTTTTAAAGGAACAGAAATGGCAAGTGGCCCTATCTTAAATTAAAAGATCTATTACCTTTGGTCGTCTAATTCTTCTCAGCAACGTGTTGTCTCTGGAGGCACTTTTTCATCCTTATGAAAACTAACTTACTGTAGGTGCAGAGGGGAAAACAAATCACTGGAGTTATGACTGCATAAGGAAGATATATACAAGTTTACAGCATTTGAAAATAATTGCCAAGTATGTCAGATATGAATATTTTATTTAAAAAATTCTGTAGCATAAGCTACATCAAATAATATGTTGTTATTGAGAGCTACATTCATGCAAATGGGAAAGCAAAGTAAAAACCGAGGTATGCCACTATTTTAGCTACCATGAGTTGAAGGCCTAAATGCTTAGTGGCACTTTTGCTACACCAGAGCTTTGTACAGCCATACCCCAGGACCCCTTCATGCTACACAGAAATACACAGTCTACAGGAAATGCCTCACCACAAACTGCATGCACCTGCAGTTAGCTGTTTATTCCTCTTGCTCCCCTGGTCTTCTTTCTTGTGTTCTGCACAGACAGAAAGCATTCTTTTTAAATTTACCCTTTCCTTTTTTCCCTTTCTGTCCAGCTTTTTATATGTCTGTGGCTTTACATTCTGGACCTTAACGATCCTGTAATTGTGTATATTCATCAGTCTCTCTTTTCCTAGTCAGACAAGCAGCAGATGTCCTAAGGTCTGCCAGAGGATTTGGGATTTTTAAACCCATCATACCTTCAAATTAGTGAACACTGGCAGCATGTACTACAATAACAGTGCTGGAAGCTATCTGTTGGCTTTGATTACAAAGTCATTTATATAGCAGTAACCAACACCATTTGTCTAACTATGCACAACGTTAAATAGATCATATGCATCTCATATTAAAAAGACCAGTTCAGCTTTTGTTTACCTCAAATAAATAAGTAATAATTTTTTTTTTTTTTAAAAGCACACAAGAAACTAACCAAATGAAACACAGCCCCAATGGAAGAATAATTCTCTCACCATCCCGCTCCCTCCTCCAAATGCTTAGTTTTGCTCATTCTGACAATTATTTTATCTAGGTAACATAATGCATTCTATATTTCAGTACTTTCTGCTCTTCAGATCTTTATGTATTGTCCATTAAAACTACATTCTACAAACACACTAGCATCCACAGGAGGGATTTTAGAAATCATCAACAGGCGAGATAGCTTACGGTTGCTGAACACAAGGTATTTTGACTCTCCTGGCTAATTCACTTATTTCAGTAGAGCTGAGCCAACAGTAAATCTGAGCCCTCTATCTAAATTTAATCTGTTCATTACCTCCAAAGACTATTGCAAATAAATAGGCAATCAAGAAGCTGGAAGGACAGAAAAGAGGGATACAGTTTACAATAGGTAACTTTATATAAGACAATTAGATCTCTGATTCCTTTCCTTCCAAGCAACAGACAATAACAGTTCAAACTAATCACCATTCAAATTTTCATTTCCACACTTAATTGATACTCTGGAGAGTTTTTTCAGCTTACTCTAAATTGTTCCCTTGGTAACTGACTTCAGTGATAACTGGATCAACCTGCAGGTAAGAGTGGGACTGGAACCTGTAGAGCATGAAGCTCTTCGCTTTCCATACTGTTGTAAGCTGCTCAAGCACATGCACAGTGTAAGCAGCCATTGGGAAGGAGTCAGATGCCTTGGCAATGTACTTTACCTTTAAATGGCAAAACAAGCTCAGTGTTTACTGAGTTCTTGGCTTCTTCACTCCTGCTGCATTGAGAGCGACACTTGTGAGATCGACATCATTCCCTGGAGAATAACGTGAAGAACAATTCAGTTTACTAACTCCAGGCTATGAAGGACCTTTCAGATAATGTTTCTAGTGAGGACAGTCTGAGATGTCTCTTTACCTGGAGCAACTCACCTCTATTCCCCTGAAGACTCCAGTCACCTGCCTGATACTATCTATTCATTACCAAATAAAATTCTATCTATTTAGAAAATTTCAATAGACATCACTACTTAAAAGACTTTCCAAAGATGTAAGATAGCAGAATGTGTCTTTGGGTCAAAGGAGAATCTTATCTCCCTATGGTTTCTAAATCTGTAAGTTTTTCTGAGGAATGGAGTGTTGAAATCTGATTGCTGAGGCTGTGCAACAAGAATGAAAGCTAAAGAGAAAGATTAAATATGTTTAAAGTTCAGATATATCTTTACTATCTTTCTCAGCACATTGACATAGGGATTAAATACAGTTTCTCAGAAAAGTGAAAAAATCATTTTAATAGAGTTTAGTCAGAATTAGGTAACACAAGGATTGTTATCTGCACACCTACAAAAATATTTTATCACGCAACAGAATAACCCTTGAAGTAGGATATTCACTAATAACACTCCTAAAAGTGCCTGTTTATTTTTTTTATCAGACTTCAGATTTTATTCTATTTTCACCCTTTGGGAAGACATGTATTAAATTTTGGTGTCCTTGCACTGCTGTTTCTGAGTTTTTCTTTGGAAACAGTTAGTTTTTTTTTTTTTAATGTGTTCTCATTCTAAATACCTATAGTGTTATACAAAGGTTTTCCATCTTAGAGCAACAGTAGAGTTCAACCATCTAATGTGTGACATAAGTTTCCATTTTGCTAGACCACCTTGACCAAACGCTTAGTATTTGAGAACTTGTTAGTGCATAACCAGTGTATGGCTAATGACCAACATCTCCTTTGTTCACTGGAAGAAAACCATCTCTCTTGTCTTCTGCAGCTACCCTAGAATTCTGCAGCATAGAATTAATGAGAAACCCTGGAGACAGGGTGGATAAAAATCTGAGAGCAGCACAGGTCTCTACAACATTACCCCTAAGCAATGATCTTTCCTCATAAGGTTATTAGAAGCCCTATCATTGTTATTTGATCTTTGAATAGTTCAATCTTTCTGCCTAATCATTCATAATTGAATTAATTCCCAGCCTTTATCACAGCTGTTTTTAGCAACTGATTACTCAATAAAAAAGGTGTGGGAGACAATGGAGGAGGAAAATGGAGAATTGTAAAAAAGGAAGGGCATTTTAGTCTAAAATATATTTGCATTTCAAAAGATTAGAGTAAATCATATGCACTTAACTGTCACTTGCTTTTTAATTTAATTAATGTCAGAAAGACACTTTAAGACAAAGTGCTCTAAAGGTGGTTGGAAAGAAAAAAATTGTCCCCCAAGTGTCTGCTGTGAAGAGCCCCTGGGTGACACTCAGAGTAATGCACTTTTTGAGTACTTCAACTTACTAGTGTCTTTCAGCACTTAATTAGCATAATTTGACACAATTATAGATATAAACACTTTATAAGCACTTGGTACAAGGAGTGTCAAAAAAGTGTTGATCTCCATCAGTTTTTTACTGGAAACAAAAAGCTCTAGCACTCAAACAAGTGCTTAGAAGTGTTCCACACTATCAACAACTTTCAAAGCAGCAAAGAAGAAAAGCTGCTTTCAAAGTGTTATCCAGATAAATTCTTCAGAGTTTTATACACCCATCTAGGAGGCTAAATCCATTAAAACTATATGAAATGCACAACCAAAGTTACTGAACTCTTCTGCTCACTAACTAGTTGCAATGTCTGGGTGAATAAGTCATTGGGGAAAAAGAAGGAAAACAAAAATGGCACTATTCAGAATTGCACTTATCATCTTATATTTACACATTAGAGGTCTTCTGAAAGAGGACAACGAATATCTTTGTTGTATATGCCCAACTCTTAGAGCTTAGGAAATGATGGAGGGAAGGTATGCCACATGATGTTGGACCTAAAGACGTTTTTTTCTGTTAATGTTCCTTAGCTGAAAATACTGTGAAAAAAAATTTGAAATGAAACGCGCTGCATACTTTCTTCATACAGCTACTGAGTCCTCTATTTGCATTATGCACAGTGAAGAAAATTTTGCCTCCCAGAATACATTGCTGAGAACAGGTTCCAACAGGCAAAGTCTGATCAGCAGTGATTCCACCCAGCTGTCTGATACCTATGCTCCTTGACTGATGAACAAACTTGGGTTTGTGCTGAAAGTTTGTTCTAATCAATGGGGAAAAGAGCAAAGGCACAAAGCTTAGGTTTGCTCAAAGGATACTGCAATATCACCTCTCCCTCTGTTTTGATCCATGGATTTTCTTTTCACAGAAACTGATTTTAATTATTAAAAATTTAATTAATAACTCCTGTGCTGTTCAAAACTTCAAATCAGGATGAGAACTATGTTTTGTGTAAACATATGGTAAAAAGATTTGTTTCTAAAGACTGATCTAAAATTAAAAAAAAAAAAAAAAAAAAAAAAAAAAGCAGCTTGCTTTTTCCTCTTTCCCTTTCTATTTACATTCATAATTTAGCATACATTCACTTAAGTCAGAGGCTGTGCTTTGCAAAGTGAATGAAGCACATAAACCCTTATATATATTATGTCTTTGCATGTGAGGTAGGTCAGATAAATTTATTAATATTTCTCCTGACAGTTACATTAATCATCTTAACACCCTGTAATTTATTTTTGCCAGTGAAGTGCAATGACGATCAATATTAAAGAGCAGTCATCGTATTAAGAAATAACATCTACGTAAACTGAAGCAAACAAAAAGAAGATATGTGACATTTTCAAAATCATAACTTACTTTTGATAGGGTTAACAACTAACTGCTTTCAAAAATAAACTATTGGAAATTGTTCCTGTTTACCTTTATAACTGTTGGTAGTATTTTCCAGTGAGGTCCATCCATTTTGATTTAGAAGATGCCTGATCTGCCTTCAAATTACCAGTGACACTTGTAATTTTTAAAATATGGATTACTCAAGCTCCACCAGAATATTTCTTCATTCAAGTTCATCTTGTTGTTGTTGTTTTTATCTGTTTTGTTTGGTTGTTTGGGAATGGTGTACAACTGAGGACCTGAAGAAGACAAAACAAAACTATAAACCCTCAAAAGAGTAAAAGTAAATTGGAAGCACTAGGAATTACAGGATCATCTGAAGAAATAAAACCAATATTTTAGGCACCTACCAACAGAAATTGCAAAACCTGTGGCCTTCCTTTCTGTGTCTAAAATTTGCCATCTACCAATTTAGGGCACTGTTGCAGCAAAGCACTTAAGCACTGCTCAAATCCTCTTGAAGTCAGAGGGATTTAAGTAAGTGAATAAAATTACATGCATACTGAAGTACTTGGCTGGGCTAGGTTGCATTGTTGAATTTGACCATGGACAATTTTAAAAGATTACTCCAAGACTGAAACTGTTATCTGTAATTTCCTTGACAAAAAAAGATGTATTCTGCCTTTCTCCTTCTAAAACATTTGAGCTAAATAGAACAGAAACAGTTATTTTTCAAGAATACTGGGGGTGCGGGAGGGGGTGACAATCTCTCAGAGAAAAAAAATGCAAGCTGATTTTTTTTATTTCCTTTACGTATAAATATGATTTGTTTCATGTTCTTGATCTATCTTTTCTGAAACAAATGTATTGCAGCCAGTGTTCTCTCTCTGTCTACCAATTTACATGTTATGTCCCTCAGCTTTTTGGGCACTATTTTGAAAAACACTAAAGGCCTGACATCTTAAAAACAAAGCACAAATCCACCCCCTCTTCCCTCAATTTAACTGCAGTTGGGGAAAAGACTAATATTGTAATTCAAAAAGCTCCAGCTTCCCTACTATCTAACTACAGAGGCATCTCTTTTTCTGACTTAGTCTAATTCCTCCAGGATCTATAGGAGTCTGCTTCAGAGCATGTTCAAAACCATTCCAGTTTTAGCAGTTCATTTACTTTGTCTTAAACCTGACAGGAATCCAAAAATTATGCAGAGGATTCCTTAAATCCTGAAGGGAGCAATCAGTGGATGGAAAACATACATAACATACAAAAAGAATTTACTCCCAGTGAAAATACAGCAGAGTATCCTTTGGGAATGAATGTAAGAGAAGGAGGGTTAAGCATCCTAAAAGGAAGAGTACTTGTTACAAATAGGAAATGTGCTGAATTTGTTCATCCTCAGAGGGCTTATACCTATATCTCATAGAAAAACAAAACAAAGTAACCAAAAAGCAAAATCAACCAACCAAACCAACAATAAAATCTTAATCATATGGTTTCATTTCCACAGGCACATTTGAAAGGAAAACTGCTAGTGCTCTGGTCTTCCAAAAAATGGTTCTAGGTGCAAAACCTGGTGGGCTTTGGGACTGCAAGGCAGAGTTCAACCTAAAAACCCTTGATGAATCAATTCAACTCTAGAAAGAGAAGGAATACAAAGATGTTTCTTGAAACATTTCTTACTCACCACACAGGTGTTAAGATAACTTTTTGCAGGTCAGGTAACATGGTGCATGTTCTATTCAGTTAGTGTAGATGTCCTGAACTGATTCTGAGATTAAATAACTACAACTTTGCTCCTGAAGCAAAATCACTTTTGAGTGGTTATGATTTATATTTAACTAATCTATTAGAGACTAGATTTAGCTATCCGCTTGCAACAAATGACTTCAGCTTAATGGTTAGTGCAACTGTAATCTCATTTTTAGTTTTCCTTAGAAAGAAATTACAGAAGTTTTTTTTTCTTTCTTTCTTTTCTAAAGAAAAAAAAAAAAAAGTGGTAAGTCTTATTTTTATATAATATTTAAACTTAATTCCACTAAAAATGCCCTTTCCAGATCTGGTTAAAGGTAAAAAAAAAAAAAAAAAAAAAAAATTAAAAAAAAAACAACAACCACTTGGTAGTGGAAGAATTGATCTAGATGACAACTGTCTGTCCATTACTCCTCAGCTGCCACAGCTTCATGAAAAGCCTGCTGCACTGTAGGACTAGGCTGGTTATACAGCAAACAGGGACCATTTAAACATGCACCATATGTGCAGTGCAATGCCAGATTTCTTAATAGAAGTAGTCCTGGAACAATCAGCCTATTCCTCTGCTCATTTTCAAACCCTGAATTCATTCAGCATATATTATAAATCACTTTGTTCCCTATACAGTAGGTATTTTGGATCCTCTGGCATCCCGAGGTCCTTTATTCAGGAAAGGTCTCATTTTGTCCACTCATAGTTTTTCCCCTCTCAGTTTTAAGTCATTAAACATTTTACTTAGAAGAAATGCATTAAGTGAATACCATTAATGAGTAGGAAGGAATGTGTAAAGGACAAACTAAGAAAAAAATTATAAGAGTTAAAATTGGGAATACATAAAACACTGATAGAATGATTATGACAACACTGAATTATGTTCACATACAAATCTTTATAATGCAAACAATATAGTATTACTTAGTTTGTTGGACTATGTATCCTATGACTGTATTTATGCTATTGAATGAAAAGGTAATAGTTCAGCATGGATTTGACAACAGAACACAGTACTCAAGTGGGAAACATTAAGCAAGCTTAACATCACCACAATCAAACCCACTTAAAACATCATACTGCCACTGCATTTTGGGAGGCAAGCACATTTGTTCAGCATCTATCTTAATATTTTGCATGTGATTAGTCTAGCTCTGTCACACTGTGTAAGCATGCCAATAACATATTCTTGAAGTTAAAGCAGAACAAATGTGGTTTATTTTATTTATTTATTTATTTAGTCAAGGACAATAAGATGCACCCAGCAAATTGCATTACAGCTAGGCCTGAAACTTAAACTGAATTCTGGATATGTATGGAAATCCAGTGCAGCTGAGGTTGATTCTCATTTACCTTCTCTGTGCAGCTGGATTTAATTCACTATTAACTATATACCTCTTTGTCCAAAAGTTTGTTTAATTTTTTTTTTCCCCTAAGATTACCATATGCAGCCTTTTCTTGTTATTAGAAAGCTTTGATGATGGCTTTGACAGGCATCACTTATTTAATAGTCTGAGTTGCTTTCAAATCTTGGCCTGCTTCATTTATTATCTGTCACACATATGTTCCACTGCCAAGCCAACCTTTGCTCAGGTAATGACTGGCCAGCATGGACAAACACATTTTGCCTACACCTGCTGAGAAGATGGCAAGAAAATCTTGTCCTTCCTTTTCTTAAGCCTGTCATATGTTGTTATTAAAACACTGATGCTTCCCTCTTACAAAGGCAGAGCACAAATTTGCAATAATGTAAGCTTAAGAATCTGCACAGAAGGTTTTTTTTTTCCTCCTCAAATCACTCATATCAATCTATGTGTTTCTTTATTCTTTTTCTCCCCACAGGCCTACTGTTTCTAATGAACATAGTCTGCAGGTGCGCAGAACAGGGTGGCTAAAGCCATTCGTGGGGGAAACAGATTTGTGAGAGGCACCACAGAGCTCAGCTACAGAAGAGCTGTGATGGGTGTCACACGCAACAGCTGCAGATCACACAGAAACAGGATGGTTGGCTCCTATTCCAGAGCAGATTTCTGATTGAAATGGATGGGGAAAAAAACAGCTATGTAGGCAAGTGCAATCACTTTATGTGATGCAAGTGAGTGTGCCGTACTCTCTTGTGCTGTTAGATAAGAGGTATAAAAGATCATCCATAATATCCATGTCTTTAGACAGAATGGAGGTTATTGTTTCTGTTTTGTTTAAAAAAAAAAACAACAAAATCCATTAAATCTTTGTGTCTTCATATTTCTTCTCTAAACTCCTCAGTGAGTTTCTTTAATTAAAAATACTTCCTTACAAAGCTAATACACAAAGAGAGGTACGTAATAGGTATTGTTGTGTAGCTAAGTATATCATAGTAGGTAGAATTATAGATCTAAAACTTGAACAGAATCAGTGGTGTGAAAAATCCATTGAATTGTGTTAACAAGGACTCTCCAGATAGGTGAGACATGGTTTTAAGAGATGATACCATGATCCAAACATTGTCCGTATGGATTTTAAACATTAATGAAGTATCAGTGCGCAGCTTTGCATACTTGAAAATGAATTCCAGTTATTTAACTATGTAAAGCTAAACTGATCTTTACTTCCTTACAACTAATGAACCAAGTTTCTGAACACTTACACAATGAATTTATACATACAGGATCAATTTCTAGGTCAATTTTTCATTTATATTTAGCTCTACAACAACAAGTTGTTTCTCCACTATGAAAAATTGCCAATCTAATCATCTCTCATTGCCTTGGAATTTAGCTTTTGTGACATCAATTAGATCATATTTTCTGTATTGGAAGATTAACTTGTGACTGTATTTTTGTTGACAAGTCTTATGCTATTCTTTCTTTCTTTTTTTTTTTTTTTCCAGATAATTACAATGATCAGTTTTCTAGATTATTAATTCCTTTCTCAGTATTAAAAGGATAATCATTGTTTGCCAAGCAAATGTTACTAAACTTTATTAATAGATACAACCAAGGCAAATATATTTCTATTAAGAGACCCTATATCTTTTTCTATTCTATATTTGAAACATGGTAGATAATGGTTAGAAATAGCCATCTGCCTCTATAGATCTTTATTCCTTATTACTGCCTCTTAAAAAAGATTTTCATTGAGAATTTACAGTGTTTTTGTTGACTTCTACACAGAAGGGAACAAGATAACATATATATAAGGCATTGGCATGTCCAATTCCAGGAAAGTCTTGATTCATGGTATGCCTGCATAAAAATACTGGGTCATTCCAAAAGTAATGCCTCCTATTTATTTCCAGGGGAAGCCACAAAGCGCACAATAACTTTTATGGAGCAAATTCTCAGCTACAAAACACCATTTGAATACATAGTCACCACCATTAGCTATGTATTCTCACAAGTGTGAACAACAGCCTGTATGACCTGCACGTAACAATCTGCATCAGTGCAAGTAGTAACTGTCACCGTTGTCACTGCTGAGATGCACCACCAACTGCCTCACTGTGCTCACAGCCACTTTTTGGTCTCTATAAAAGTTCAGCAAGCATCGATGAATGTCAATGAGCCCCATTTTTT